TCAAACCGTTGCATATCTCGATTCAGAGGTTGTTTAATATTTTTCCATCACTCGATATCGATTTGGATTGGAATGTCCCTAACCAAAATATTAAACAAACAAAAAAATTGAATCACAAAGAACTAGACTCAAAACCTATCTCGTCCCCCCAAACTGTTGAGAAACGGGGCAGCAACAACAATCAAGAATAGAATGCACGACACACACGATCTTTACGTGGAAACCCCAAATCGGGAAAAATCACTAGATTTTTGTCCAAGCCACAACTCCACTAGACTTTGGTGGTATTAGAAGTCCTTTCTAGACTAGCTAGAGGATTACAAACACCTCAAGAACAGCCTTCTTGGATCAATAATCAACCACAATAGCTCTCACCAACATGGTGGATAACTAAAACAAGAGCAAGACAAAGAGAGAGGTACCAAAAACAGCTTCGTTCACCTTCTTTCCCGCAGCGATTCCCAACGAACTAGAGATTAGAACTATGATCTCTCTAGTCAGACTGAATCCCATAATGTTCTGAACCCACTGTCCAAATGTCTCCAATAACTTCTCTTCCAAAGCATCACGAATCCAATGATATCGAACATCTAGTGTTTCGACCTTATGTCACTACAACTTGTGATAAAAATAAAATTTTGTCATTTATATTTTGTCACAATAAACCATATAATGGGACGACAACCATGTTTGTCATAACTTCCATAGCAGTTGTGACAAATAACTAATTTGTCATCAACGTTTCACATATTAAGTATATATTATGACAAATGTATTATGTCAATATTATTTTGTCAAAATATGGTCATCGAGGAGGAATGATTGGACTATAATGTGACAAAATATTTGTCATAATATCGTTTGTCCAATTATCTATTATGTCAGATGTATTATGACAACTTAGTTTATCATAATATGACGAGTTTACCTATAATATGACAGGTTATACTTAGTCAAAAAAAACTCTTTATTGCCTATGTATTGGCGGGAGATTGTGGAGTGGAAGATGAAATGTTTAATATGACAAATAAAAAAAATTTCACAATAAAAAATTGAGATCATTTATTATGACAAACTAGCATTGTTACATTGAATATATCCCACATTTAATTAGCAAAAATAGGAATTGGCGGGAACTTGTGGAGGGAAACAATAAATATAGTATGACCAAATAATAAATTTTTCAAAATATATACTAGTATATATTTCTACTGACAAACAAGTTTGTCGTAAATAACGTTATGTTCACATTTAATATGACAAAACACCTAAATCATGACAAAAACCCTATACCCTAAATCGTGAAGCGTAAAAACAATCTTCACATCTAAATTCTAAACCTTATAATTAAATTTTAATTGATCGATGAAAGCAATCGGTAAACCTACAATAATGAAACTCATATTCTAGTTGAACAACGATACACTAAACCTTATCGCATAATGCATATGTTGATATGATTTGAAGTGTAATTATTTTTCATAGTTAGAAATTATAGATTAAATTTTTTTTCCTTTCTCTTTTAGGAATTCGAGTTCTCCCCCTACCGAGGCACTCAAAAAGAGGGTACAATCAACCTTTGTCGTTCTGTTGTTATTTTTGAGGTCCTCTTCATCCTACAACCTTCTTTATCTCGTATACTAAACAAGTACAAGGTACAAAATTGAGTTTCAATGACTTGAAATCTTATGAGTTGTCGTCAATTAGGAGTCACGGGGATCTCGCTGTCCGGTTTGGGGGCTCGGGGGCGCAAGGTGGCCCCCGATGGGGGTTCGGGGTACAGTAAATGGGCTTATACCACCCATAACTTTGTGAAAACATTTGTGGTTAACTTGTATCCCACCCTTAGCATTGTTATGTATTATTCTATGTTTTGTAATTTATTTTCTAAGTCAAAAATTTAAATTCTTTTATTATCAAAATCTGGAAAAAGCATCAAAATCCTTTTGCTATGCGGCAGAGGATTCGTCGTTCTATTTTCGCACGAGCTTCTTTCCCGTTCCTCTCAACTTTCGCTTTGAACCCTAAGAAAACCCAATCGACTTCCTCAAGTCGATCTCATACACTGTTGTGCACAAGTAAGAATCCGTTCCAGAAGATCTGAGTTACCTGCAAGTAAGTCATTCGACTTTGCATTCTTCATCTGCTCCTCCAACTGAATGTATCTTCTATTTTCATCTCATTGATTTCTTCTTGCAGGTTTGGTTTTTCTTTGTGAATCACATCGAATTCATGGTCGAATTGATTTAACTGGTGGTTGTATGTGTTGCCTCCCCTTTTTGAATCTATTTCAGCCGACTGCTACTTTTGCCTTTTATATTTTATAATCAGTTCATGTTTTTATTCAGAAATGCATGAGTACTTATCAAATTCCTATGATTCCTGCTTTAATTTAGAACGATAGTCTCTGCATAGGTTAAAAGAGCAACCTTAATTAGAAGTAGTGAATCGATTGCGTTAGTCGAGAAGCAAACTCGCTGCTCTGTACTGGAATTAAAGCCGATAGAGGAATTTTGGTGTGTTATTACCTTGATTATTTATGTCGGTGGAGGTTAGTCGCCCGCCGGGTATTCTAGCTGAGAGGGTCTTGATTATTTTAGTCGAGATTCCAGACTTGTCAAGAACTTTCCGCAATATATCTGTTAACTGAATCGGATTGGGTGAATTACAACTTGGCCTAACTGCACTCTAGGGGGAATCATATCAAAGTGAGTACCCAGCCTGTAATTAGTAGTTTTACCTAGTTTAGCTTATAAAGTAGTTTAGTTAATCAAACCGTAATCTGATTTGCTAGATAATGAAATGAAGCTGAGTAATAGTAACTCTAGAGACCCGTGGATTCGATATTTATTACTTGTGCCACTATACTACAGTCTCTTTCATTGGTTACACTTGGCCATTGTTAGGAGTTGTGTTTTAGCAAGTCACCCGCACAGATTTACTTTTGGGTATCCTCCACAAAAGGCCTCGTACTAATTGCGCTAGGTGGACACTTATATATAAAGGTCCCAACCTTTGTATTGTTTATGTTGGACACTTATATACAAAGGTCCCAGACTATATATACGTCTATGGTCCAGACTGAGAGGCTAAAGTATAGACCTCATGGGTAATTCTCCCCAAAAGGTCTCGTACTAATTGAGCTAGGTGGACACTTATATACACGAGTCCCTTCTTTTATATTTTCGATTTGGTACTTAGATTTCCCCATAACACTTTCTGATAGCCTAGGTGTGATGAGGAGCAAGCTAAGAATGAAGAGCTAGAAGGTAAACCACCAAGGAACCACTACAAAAAAAGGACCTACACCAAGGGTTATTTTCATCTGTAGCAAAGGTTTGAGCAACCCTTGGATGGACCCTTGGCAAAGCTTCCCCTGCTATATATAGCAAGGGTTTTGGATGACCCTTGGTGCATTGTCCCCTGTAACGATTATATCAAGGGGTTAACCCCTCGCTACATGTCTGTAAAATTTAAGCCATAGATTCTGGTAGCAAGGGTTCAAATCCTTGGAAAATTCGTTCCTACAACTAGCAAGGGTTCAAACCCTTGCTACTGTGTAAAAATATGTAAAGAGGCGTTTGTAACATGGGTTGTAACCCTTGGGAAATTTGTTGCTTAAATTAGCAAGGGTCAAACCCGCTAAATAATATTATATTGGATAGGCTTGCAAGAGTCTAAACCCTTGCATAATCTGTGACTAAAGCATGACAATATTTGTGTCCAAACCCAAACCGTCGCTAAAAAGTTTGTTAGTAAAATTCATAACATAATACAATACCTTTCATAACCTGAATCATAACATGATACGAAGCATCATCCAAAATGATGTTTACATGGCTAAATACTAATCACTATAAACATTCAAACATGACCAAAGTAACAATAGTGCATTCGTGATGTTCCAAGTACTCAAAAGAACCCTATTCAAAGCTACATGGGAAGTTCATGATCCAAAATCCTTCATATAAGAAATGGAACAGCAAAATACATTACAATTCCTGAAAAGAGTAACTATCTTGACAGGTTGAATGACAAACTCTTCTATGCATTCTCCTACTCAATAGGCATCATCGACAACTACATGCTGCAACCTGAAGAGCAAACGCAAGAGAGGTTGAGAAATTTCCAACCACATCTTACAACTAACTGACACATCGGCAGTCCTAGGTTCTTATGCACAATGAAATTAAGAAGGAGAAAGAGCTCACCTGAGCATCAATCTGGAGAGTAGAGAACTCTGCAAAGCCGATCAGTTTAATTGGGGCATAGCATACCGGGGATGAGGGATACAATCTGATTTAGAATGAAACAAGTAACTTGTAAAATAGTTTGATAAAAAGATTGTTGCATGCATCTGGATCTGTTCGTTTACGTTAACTTGGCTACAGAATCTCTAAGGCCGGGAAGGAAACAGAGAGAGATCTAGACATGATAGTTGCAAACATACATGGATCTCTCAAGTAGTAAAAATAAATATTAGTTGAGACATCAAAAGGGCTTCAACATCACATTCATCCTCACCAGCAAGAGTATTTTCTCTTACCAAAAACTAACAGTAACAGACATGGTTGAAAAAATAAACACATTGGACTTTAGCTCACATTTAAACTTTAGAATGCAAAAAAAACCGTAAAAATTAAACACACTGCTCTTTACCTTAGTGATTTTCAGTATATGTTGGTGAAATGGTTTGAACTCTCTTCTTTTCGAATGCTCTATCGATAGTGGAGTCAAGGTGTTGTTTTCTTTGAAATTGTCTCAAGAAAGGATGCAAACAGAGATGACTTGCTACCACACGGAACTCCAAATTCATCAATCTCCAATTCGATCCTTTCGCTTGCATCCATGTTCCATACATCTTGCACCCTCGTCCATCCTCGTGTCTTATGGGTTTCGTCGTTTTCCCTTGCTACCAAATTACATACTAATTATTCTGATATATGAAATTCCACATGTATTTTTATATATGAAATTATCTTAGCTCTAGTCTTATGACGTACTTCAGAATTTACCATGAGATCAAGATATCCCTGACAATAACGTGTTTCCTACTCAATCCATGATACCAAACTTCAGCTTTCTGCTTGCAAAATATGAAATATGTCATCAAGCTTAGACTGAGGCTATAGCAGAATCACCATTAGTGACATATTCCACTTACCTTCACACCAGCATTATCAGAACCTGGGGAAGCTTTCTGTCGCAGCATCATATGAAGAAAATGAGAAGATAAGAAATTGACCAAATTGAGGGATCATTTAACAACAGGAAGAAAACTAATATCAACACTATGTGTTAATAGAACTGGAAATACAATGACACCAACAATGCCCCCAAGTTTCACAGCAAAGTGAAACCTTGAAAAGTCAGCTTCCTCCATGTCAAACTTGTTGAATCATATGAAACAAAAACTCAATTCTTGAACATGATATAGATACAAGCAATTGTTCAATCACAAATGACATAAACAAAGAGGCTCAAACATATCAACCGAAAGGATCATGCACAATACAGAGTTACCATGTCAATAGAAAAACAGCATACAACTAGATGATTAAAAGCATCCTCCATTGATGCACCTATTAACCCCCAAAGAAAATGTTAAAGAAAACAGGATAAAGTGAGCAAACAAAAGCTTCAAGGGCAGAACCTTGCGTCAGTCATTACTTGAACCTTCGCACCACTGCCATGCAGATCATTGAAGAAGAGTTTTGAAGAGGACGAACATATATTCATGATTTATCTTGCAAAATCAATTAGCGAAAAAGAGTTGAGCAAGGTGAATCTCAGCAACAACAAAAAAAAAAGAATAAACATATTAATGGCAATTCAAATACCAGCCAAAGATTCAGATGCATCTTCAAGATGCTCTCCATTGTTCAGGCTCCCAAACTTGTCTACATACTCAGCAATGGTTAGGGTGACAAAAAAACTTGTGAGGATAAGGATTTTTCCCTTCAGTCTTTTGTACTTCAAGATACCTGATTCAATTCTCAAATTATTGCTACAAGAGAAGATAAATAAGTTCAGAAAAGGAGATAATATACAAAATATGTGAGAGAACATGTACTAGCAAAGCAAAGCCAATAGCATGGGGTCAATATCCCCTTCACCTTCCCCAACCTATTGAATCCATGAGACCATATGAATGGTCAGATCTTCAATTCATCAAACACAGTAGAGTGAGATAAGAACATAAACACAAGTGCATTGGAATTTGCAGAAACTAATAACGATTACCATTGGGGTAGGTTCCACTACTTTGACATTTTTACTGCAGTAATATGGGCAAGATATCCCATCTCATCCTATCAAACGCAGAAATTAATTGAATATGCCGCATAACAAATCATTTGAACCCCAAAAATCATGTTAAAGAGTAAAGAATCTCATCACCCCTCCAATAAAACCAGAGTATGCATGGCAACTAAAGCAGCACAAGAAGAGGGCAATTCCTATTCTTCTCTAGAGCTTATTAACACAGTAATTATTACCATGTCTTGGTTGAGGCCAGAAGTATTCAAGAGCACATCATCATCTCCCAAAAAGAAGCCATTGATCAAATGACTCGTCTCCACCTTCAAGAAGAAACTCTACCTCCTCCGCTTTCAACGGTACCCATGACTCGGCTCCTGGCAAGAGGAGCCAAACACCACGTCCACCCTCCCGACCGTCCTCTCTGCTGGCGCTGCTCCTACCACCAGTATTTGTCATCATCGGCGGAGTCGGGAGAGGGAAATGTTGGTGGTGATGATGATCTGCAAGTGGATAAGAGTGCGGAGCAGTTTATAGGGAAGATGAGGGCCATGAACATAGAGCGGAGCTAAGAGCTACAAACACTAAGAAATTTGATCTGTAACCTAACTAGCATGGGCTCGCTAGCGCGAGGGAGGGACAATGAAGCGAGGAAAGCAGAGAGCAAGCCAGGGAGGGAGACAAGGAAGAATATTAACTTTAGCCTGTCAACCTAATCGAGCGACATTGGACAATCGCCTGTCAACCTAATCGAGCGAGGAAGGTTGGAGAATCGCCAGCCGGAGTGAGCGAGGAAGATTGGAGAATCGGGCAGGAGTGAGCAAGAAAGATTGGAGAATTGCCAGACGGAGTGAGCAAGGAAGATTGGAGAACCGATGGCCGGAGTAAGCGAGGGAGATCGGAATCGCCCTTCAATCGGGATGAGTGAGGAGGGAGATCAAAATCGGGATTTTTTCCTTTGGATAACTTTGGGTGTCATTTTTTTATATTTTGAATTGCTAAACAAATATTTCAGCTGGAGAAATGTGTTAGTGTTGTGGTATATGATCCACGATTGAAACTCTCCCAACAACTCGAGTTATTGGGATCAATTGAATTTAGTATCCAAGTATGAACCTTGGCATTGTTTTGGTTCCAACGAGCCAAATCTTCAGCGGACGACGGAGGAACGGTGGGCTTGGCCGTTGTGCCGTCGATCATTCCCAGAAGGCCCTTCCCTTCCACGTACATACGAAATTGAAATTCCCACATAGCATAATTGCGCGAGGTAAGTCGAACAGCAATATGGTTGGACTCCATGGACGTAAGCTCTGATACCATGTCAAGAACCAGTTGATCCCAATAACTCAAGTTGTTGGGAGAGTTTCAATTGTTGATCATATACCACAACACTAACAAAATGGAGAAGCGGATGAAATTTGGTTGTCTATAGCAAGGGTTTTTTAACCCTTGAACCAAAACGTTGGTACAATAAATTCTGTAAAAAGTAGTAAGGGGTTTGAAACCCCTTCTACAAAACCCTTGGCATAGGAGCTTTTTTTTGTAGTGAACTACTAGTTAGCAGCAAAATTCTAGAATTGTGAATTGTATCCAAGTCTAGCTTTTGCCAATTTTATGAGTACGTTTGTCGAACAATCATCCCCATATTGTTTATCTTGCCTTAACCACTACCGTTGTCATCTTCAACTTAGCCTTTTTTATTGCCAGATCAGCAGTTTTCTAGGAATTGTGGAGTTTCTCTAATTCTTGGTGTATATGGGACTATGGGTTTGGTAGAAGATTTTGGCATCCATATATCAACTCTTCTTTTCTTTTCGGCAATCCAATTTAATTAACTCCGGATTCAAACATACACTACTACCGTATAATCTATTAGCTAATTAATCTACAGCTACTTCATTGACAATCGATAAGAATCCAGAAGAAAACAAAAAGGATGATGAAAAGGACAAAAACCGAGAAGAAGAAAAGACAACACTAATCCTCATCATGACCATATAGATCAATCGTCGTCATCTAGAACAGGATGCTCGTTATCCTCGTGCCCTTCGGTAGCATTTCTATGTTGTTGAATGACCAAAATGGAAGCACCCAAATTAAGCTCCGCAGAAGCCAGAATGTCTCCGACGGCCCCTAGTTCCGGACATTCCTCCCAATCGCTCATCCCCGTGGTCATCGGAGAATTCCCTCGGCCGCCTTTTCCTACTATGAACAGTGAATACATCTCGCCTATCTCTTTCAGTATCTCAACCGTTTGCTCTCCATTCTCCGTCTTCTTCTCCATGTACTTCACCTTCCCTGACGTCACATATCTGAAACAAATATTATATGCGCTAGTCGTTAGTGTTATATATCTCTGTTTAAGAAAATAGTTATAAGAACTAAACCGGATCAACAGTTAGACTAGTAACATCATCAAACCAATTACAATAGCGATTTAATTTTTTTTTTTTTTTACGGATTGGCATGAACTAAGCGGTTTTTAACAATGAGACATAAAATCAGATGAATCACTCTGAGTTTGATTTAGTCACAAAAAAATAAGAGAAAAAGTATTTTAACTTGAAAAAAGATCATCCAATATGACTTACTAATCTTATATATGCTTCATTTTCTTCGTTTTGGCCTTCTTGTCAGTTTGGCGTGGTCCACTATGGATACTCCAATTAAATTTAATAAAAATATATAATTTATTTTGTGAAATAATTTGAATGATTTGTTGGAAGGATGATACATATTTGAAATTGTCATCATTAGAGTAATAAATTCAGTTTCAAAATAGTATATTATATAAGTCTCTAATTTAATGTTATAGTGCATGAATGATTCTATCAAAAGCTAACCAACGATTCTATAACAATTAATCATTGAACCATAACCTACTAACTTTTCTGGTTGAGCATCCGAAGATCAAAACAGAGTAAAATAGTATCTATGAGAAGATTGAGTTCAATAACGTACCTGTTGCAAAAATCCTCCATGAAAACATTATCAATGGCCATATCCACCTCATAGCTGGAGATCGAGATATGCTGCTCCTCTTCCTCACCGTTCCTATCATGCACCTGCTGATTCTTCGGCTGACCCTCCGATTGAAATCTAATGATCGTCAAGTTCACGTACGGATGCGTGGCAATCCTCTTGCAACAGGCCAGTGCCTCCCTGTCATCGGGCCCACCAAAGAACAACATGGCCACGTTCTGGACCAGCTCCGGGCTCGGGAGCTGGAACCCGGTGAGCCCACGGTCCACGAATATCCCGACCGAGCACGGCGCGTGGCGCATCACCTTCTGGTTCACGATCCTCACCCCGTCCTTGTCATTCTCCAGCTTCCCGTCCAGCCGCTGGTGCTTGTGGAACGTGAGGAACACGATCGACACGCGCAGGTCCTCGGCGCTGGAGCACACGTCCTCGTACACCTTGGGGAACCAGGAGACGGCCTTGCTCTGGTGGACGAGGATCTTGCTGTCGGTCGTGAACGCGTCCACGGCGTCGTTTATCTCGATGATGTCGTTTCCGCCGTACTCGTCGTCGTCGCTGAACTGGTCGCCGTCCTGAAGCTCGTGGTACATGAGTTTCTTCTTGCGGCGGTGTCGTTTTTGGAGCTCGACGAGGTGGATGAGGTAGGTGACGGTGGGAGAACGTTGGGAGCCGGTCATGGTGGCGATGAGGCCGAGCTTGGAGGTTATGTGGCGGGACTCGTAGACGCAGGCCAGGAAGCGGAGCTCATTTTCAGGGTCGAGGAACTCCAAGAAGGTGAGTTTGTGGGCGAAGTACTTCCTGTCGCGCTTGAGGATGAAGGAAACCACTGGACCGGCTATTAGGGTGTTGATCACCACTATGATGATTACTAGCTTGTGTGTGTTGTCGTCCCACCATGTCTGTCCATCAATCAACGTGAAAGCAATATTTAAAGTGAGTTGGCCGTGCTAATATGGAAAAAAACTAAGTATGGAAATAGTGTGGTCTGGTCTAGATTGGACCGATAATACATATAATTTATGGTTCAAATTGAGAAGTTGGAATATAGATCATGAACCAAACAAAATATTGTGTGGTCCGGACCAAATCATGTATGTGCGATTTGGTCTGGTTCGGTATGATTTGAAGCATGCAGATTATGTTGAGTGAAAAATAAATGAATTCTAAGTTAACCACAATCGTCTCTACTCTATGGTGGAGTGTAGTTTATGAATAAAGGAGTGGACGAAATTCGCAAAATTAGAGTTGAGGTTTGTGCCTCGTTGAGGAGTTGGGAGAGTGTTCGAGTGAGCAACTAACACGAATTGGAAAGGGGACTCGATCCACGGTTTGGTTTGGTTTGGTTTGGTGAAGCTTGGTCTGGACCATCCCAATAAATCAATACATCCTATGGACCATAACATGGATCAGACCAAACCGTTCTTATTTTTTCAAATGATCTGATCTATTTTTCCAGCCTAAGAGAAACTAATGAAAAATATGATAATGAAAAAATAATTTTAAGGGGTGGAACTTACATCTGACCTGGAGAAAGCTTCGATGACAAGAAGCTCGCCGTGGCCCTTCAAGTTGAGAATGAAAGCAAGCACCACGGCTTCATTCCTGGGGATGTTGAGGTAATGGCAAGCGCAGAGCGTGCCGATGATCTTCCCGCCCATGCTCAGCAGTATCAGCAGCGCCACCACGATGCAGTTCCTGACGTTGATGAGGTAGTTGACGTCAAACCTGAAGCCATTGAAGCCGAAGTAAATAGGGAGGATGAAGTTGTTGACCGCGTAGGTCAAACGATGGAGCAAGGTCCTGGTGGTCTTGCCTTCCTTGGGGAAAGCCACGCCGACGAGGAAGCAGGAGATCATGCTGTTGAACCCTAACTTCTCGATCATGAAGGAGAGCAGGATGACGAGGAGGAGGATCCCCGACATCTCCGTGCTCGGCACGAACTTCATGTGCCTCCTCCTCTTGTTGCACCAATTGGCCAGGTATCTATTCATCATCATCAGTTAGTTCATCCCTCAGATCAGTGTCAAGAAATTTATTGATGACAAGGATAGTAAGAGAAATTAATTTATGTCCATCATCACAATGAAGTTTGTGTACTAAAGGACATAAAGGGGAAAAGTATGAGGAGCAAACGGAAAAAAAAGGAAAATCAGGTATTTATTGTGACACAAAAACTTTGCCAATTATATTTTGATTTAATTGGGTCGATATCCTTGTAGCTACATTTTCTTTTCACAAGTTAAGTATTATAATAAATATGATATAGGCATAAAAATGAATTACTTTTATTTGAGTAAAAAGTCGGGCCCTCAAAATTGTAATGATTAAAGATCAAAGTCATTACTCGGATTAAAACTTGCAAAGTTATTCTATTTTAAGATATAAATATTTATTTTGAGAAACAGGTCCTTGTTATAAACTTTAACTGACAACCCTATCATTTTAATATGTTCTTTATTTATTTCCAGTCAGCATATTAAAAAATTTATTCAAACGCATTACTTTGCCGTCGAATTATGTTTAGTAAGTACATCGTGCTAGCTACACATTTAAGTGCTAAAAATTATATTTTTCACCAATCATGAAACTCCTTTAATCGACTTCTTCCTCACATGTTCAAGATATGTATTACAAAATGAGAGTGGATGTGAAATGTGTATCATAATATTACCACCTATTTGTTAAAATACGTAGAATAGGGACTAAAACAGTAAAACACCATTATATTAAGTATTAACCCGATTCTTTTCTTTTGTCGAACTACTATTTGGTGCTCAAACAATAATTTTCTCTCCTTTTTGTCCACGATGAAAATAAAATAAGATAAATGTACCTGTTGGCGTAGGCGACGATCCCAGTCCCGACGATGCAAACAAGCGCAAACCCAAACATCTTCCCGGAGCTGAAGGCCAGGTAGGTGGAGTACCACGTGATGCAGAACAGCTCCATGAACAGCGCCGCGCAGATCGCCAGCCTCCCCGGTTCCGCCGTGTCGAACTTCAGCTCGGCCAAGAGCCGGACCACCACGGGGGACGCCACGCTGGCCACAATGATCATGATGACGTTGGCGAACGCCAACCTGTGTGCCGTCACCTTGAGCACGTTGATGACGAAGAACGAGGCCGCGGCCCCGAAGGCGGCGCACACGGCCACGTTCCAGGCCGCGATCACGCCGATCCGCTGGAAGTTCCGGCAGATGTAGGGCAGGTCGGCCTCGAGCCCGATGGTGAACATGAAGAGGATGCGGAACACGAAGAGGAGGAGGAAGCTGTAGTCCTCGAACGCCGGCTGGATGAATATCTGTCGTATCCGGTCGATTTTGCACAGTAGTGACGGTCCCAGCACCAATCCTGCCTAAAACCAAAATTGAAACAAAACAAAACATTACCGTAAGAACATGGAGAGAAAAAAAAACAAAGATGCATCCTTTAATGACGATCAAATTGTTACCAGAATCTGGGCGACGGGGCCGGGCTGGCCGAAGGGCTTGAGGATGACGTGGAAGATCTGGGAGACGAGGAGCATGCCGCAGGTCTGTACAAAAGTTGTATTGAAAGGGTTCCATAGGTCGTGGGTACAGAGGAGGCGCTTGGCTTGATCCATAATGGTCGTGGTGTAATTAGCATGGTAATGGGGAAGAACATAGTAGAGATTAGGGCTCTACGTACTTTTGCGTGATTTTAATTTCTTTACCCACCGTGAAAAAGGGCTAGGGTTCTTTTTTTCTTTTGTTTTCTCAAGGAAGTTGGAATGAAGTGTGAAGGAATAGCTTGATGAGGCTGAAAATGGTGAGGAATGGGATACAGGACAGCATGGTTATTGATGAAACAAAAGGTGATAGCAAGAGATCATGTGGAAGAAGGAAAAAAAGGGTTTGTATTTGTTTCTTTTTTGGTGCTTGGGGATTGATTTGGGTGCGAGTATGGCATTTTCTCTGGCTTCAATTGAATATTTTTGTTCATTGATTTGTTGCCCAGAGGAAAGATGGATACATTGATGGAGGATCTTTGTTCCCGGGAAATACTAATTTGGATGCCTTGTTTCCTTTTTAATTGTCTTCCAACGAGAAGAGTTTCTTCATTGAGTCAATTGTTTTCTTCCTTTCTTCATTTCTCTAGGGTAAAAAATATAACATTATTTCAATGGTTAGCCGATATGCATGCATTACTGGCATTTTAAGGGTGAGATAGTAAGACTCTCCGTCTCTTTGCACGGTTGCACGTTTTTCTTAAGTGGGTTTGGTATGAAATATTTGTGGTAGAAATCTCAAGTAACCATTTATGCATCTGAATTCACAGTTACCATGAAAACAAGGGTATCTGCATATGTGTTATTCCCTCTCAGCACAATAATTCAGCAATATATATATGCTATCAACTACACTAATAAACCACTGAGAGATTACAGACGTCACAAACTACAACAATAAAAACAATGCAGAGGAACATGCAGCTGCCAAACTGATCTGAAACCATCTCAGGTAACCAATCTGTTGGCAATTATCTCAATTAACCATTAATGCATATGCTTTAAGCAAGTAAATCGGCGTCTACAACAATAAACCACAACTATGAAACAATGCCAGAGTATTAGTACCTGCTTCACCACTTCAAATGTTTCTCAAATGGAATCTGTCCTATGCAGGGGAGCACTTCAGACCTGATATGGACGGCTTGGAGAGTGAAGGTATTGGAAATAAGTAATTGAGGGTCCAGGGATGACTCTCCTTTGACTATTCTGTCCTGTCTTCTCTCTCTAGGTGAGAGTGAGACATACAGTTCTGAAGAATTACATATCTGGGCATCTCAATAATTACGATGACAAGTTCAATATGCTCATGTTAGCATTCCCTCCTTTCTCTTCACATTTCTATTTTGTTCTCTTGTATATTGGGATGGTGTTGGCTTCATTTCTTAGCTTGATGCTGCAGAAGCTTCTCTCTAATAGACTAAACATCAGCACTGGACAACCCAGATGCCTTGCAGAATCAGGAAGTCTTGCTCCCGGGCCACATCATTACCGGTTATACAAAGGTTTGAATTCTTTTTGTTGCTCATATAAGTCAGAAACAATCAAACAAATGTTGGATTTAGGTAATGGAAATGTGGTTAGGTTGGGAGTTGATGATGCTGTAAGAGGTGGTGTTTAATCTTTCCTGATTAGGACTACAGAGCCAAAGCCAATACAGTTGGCTTAATTGAGAGGCTCAGCTGGCATACCAGCTTGTTCATAGAACACATTCTAGACAACTGGTTGTCTGATCTGTTACTGGAGTTTGGTCTGAATTTATTTCCTTAGTTCCTTACACATAAGGATCGTTTTTATTCATTCATTCTATTTTATTGTTGTGGAGTAGGAGAGAAATCTACTTAGACCTGGGAGGATACCTGATTTATTACTTGCACCGTGATGATTCATTGGCTTGGTGCTGAATGTATTTTTCCATGTTCAATGTGTTTTTGTTGTGATTATCTAGCTGGTTTTGTTTTCGGTGCTAGGAAAAACTTGAAGATTGGTGGACTAGATTGTATGTCTGGATTGCAGGCAGGGAGTGGATCTGAAAGCCACGATTGACAGATGTGAAGTACACCATATTAGCATGTTTTGGACACTGAAACTTTAATCTCTGGGTTTCATTGACACGAAATCTAACTACTCTTCATAGAAGTTGAGACTGTTTCTAACCATAATGTCTGAAGCCAAGTTTCTCATATCAAACTCTGATGTATGAGCCACACATTAGTTGATGATAGTATTAGTAAATAGCAACCACTGGAAAACATTTCTAAACCTTACTTAAGCAACTTATTTATCAATCCTGATGGTAACATTTGTAAACATTTGATGCTATAGCAGCGGCGAGTCCACTTTTAAACATTCATATTAGTATAATTATGTATCATAATCACCCACTGCGGCTCTCAACAACCACCGTGGTATCTAAAGTGGTGCAATTTCAGCAAACACTAGAAAGACATCAAACTAAAGCTGAAGTGCATCCAATGAGTAAGTGAATTTCAGGTAAACTTAGCAACTAAGAGTAACCAATTCTGCAATAATGATCAATTAGAAAGTCCACCATTCTGTTTCTCATTCTCTATTGACCAAAGCGATACAGAGTCTGAGTGAATAATCCCAAAATAAAAAGGAGACTAGCTTCGCAAAGTAAATAAAAGCTTAAACCTTCACCAAGTGAACAACAGAAGACCAAAATTGCTTACATGGGACAGAGAGACAGTGATACTAGACTTGCGGCCATGTCTAACAAGCAGCAGCAAGCATGCTTAAAACGAGCTGATTGTTTGTTCTTCAGACTTTCTTCTTCTTCTTTAGCTTGATGGCTGCCTCATTTGTTCCTTTACTGACATCTTTCTTTCGCTTGACACCATCCACATTCTTCACTTTAGATACCTCCACATTCTTCACTTTAGATACCTTCTTCGCTCTTCTCTCACCTTCAGCTTTAATTCCCTTCTTCCTCTTCTTAACTACAACCTCAGCACTTCCACCAGCCTCTGTCTCATTGTCACCATCACTCAGTTCTTCACCATCAGTATCGCCATTGCTATCCATATACCTAATCTCACTAATTCTCCCCTTCTTCTTCTTCCCAGTTTTCCCCTCCTCGACATTCTCTGTCTCCACCTCCGTCTCCTCCTCTATCTCATCTTTTTGCCCTTCAATCTTCAACTTCAACTCAGGAACCGCCTCATACACGGGCAAAGCCAAGCTATCAAGCAGCTTCATGTGAATAGACCTGACACCACCCCATTTCTTAGGCACAATCTTTTCAACAACCCCATTAATCGTAGCCATCACATTCTCCACAATCTCATCTTTCTCCATCGACAGCTTCGCCGCCTTCACAACACTACAAGTACCAGTCTTCACAAACACCAGAGCAGAGCCACAAGCGTTCTCAATCTGTTCCTTCCAGCCCTTGTGCTTCAAATCAATCGCAACCGGAATCTTCTTCTTCCTGAAAAACTCCTTCCCCAGCATCTTAGGCAACAAAGGGAGCACCCTTCTGTCAGCAAAAAACATGTCATAGGAATCGCAGAGCTTCCTCTTGGCCTCGAAGGGGCGGTAATCGGTCTTGAGCTTGGAAAGCTTGATGATTTTGGAGATGGGTATTCCATCGTGGTCGATCTTTTTCTTGGCGGATTCCTTGGTGAGACCAGATTTGTGCCTGTCGTCGATGATCAAGCAGAGCTCGGAGCTTCCATCTTCAGGGTTTGCCAGGCGGTGGGGGAGACTGACTTTGTACGGCTTGACTCGGCCGACGCCCTTTTCCGGGATTTTCTTGAGAGAGATAACAACATACATGAACTCGTCCTGTTCTAGGAGTTGAGCTTTCTGGGTTTTCAGCTTGGTAGCTCGCCATGCCTGGAGCGCGTTCACGGCCCTCTCCACTGTTCCGGAACTAACACCGTTTGCCGGCGGCGGAGCTTCCATTGAAAATTTGGGACCTTTCAACTTCGATTCCTAGCGAAGAAGACGGAAGTGAGGAATTGGGCGGAAGGGGGAAAGAGAACTCGAAGCAGAGGTAGGGTTTAGGTTTAGTAAATGCAAATTTCAAAACCCTATCGAGTAGCAGAGGTACCGGCTTCCGCCTCACTGGGCCGACGGCTGATGCTTTGGGCTAAATTCAATCTAGTAAAGCCTATATGAGGGTTTGGCCCAAATTAGTGGACAACATCTGCTACCCAGCCACTTGGTAGTTGGTAGGTTGACGATTTCTTATTAAAATAAGTAAATGGCTTATTGACATCCAAAAACAATATTCTTTACACGTGCTGTGCATTTTGGTGAAATTATTTTAGAAATTCCATCATTAAACTATAAGATTTTAAAAATATCAGTCTTTTTCGAAAAAAAAAATCAAAAATACTATCATTTCATGGAAATCGTATGGGTAAGGCACGATTTTAAGGATAACTGCATAGGGGAAAACGATTTCAATTAGGATGGCCAGCAAACACTTGTCCATGTGGCGGTCTATGGAATCGTTGGATAAAGATGTGATCCGAAGGCGGACCGTGCGCCAGGTCAGCGGTCTATGGAATCGTTGGATGCCAGAACTGCTTCCCCCGAAGTGCGTTTTCTGTTTCAATTGCTAAAACCGTTGGTGGGGGGCAATTTTTGTTTAGTGTAAAATGACCAAACGCCCCCCACCAGGCGGTCCGTATGCTATATAAACTCCTCCCCCTCCTGTATTTTTTCACACCAAAATCTATTATTCTCTCTTTCTAAGATTATCTCTCTATCCATCCCCCTCTCTACCCAAAATCTAGGAAATAATGGTATTTTGATTGCAACTAAATCCGAACTGCTATCAGAAAATATTTTTTTTATGTTTTTTTTTTCAAAACACATCGAACCTCTATCCGCCTTCATGAAAAAATGGATACTTGGTTCCAAGAAGAGGGCATTTATTATTATGAGTATAAAGCGGTACATACTCATTTTGCCAATTTTTTGGTGTTGACACTGCAACTCCTCGGGAACGCGGTGTGGGTTGGGCAGTCCATGATGGCGACGGCTTCGTACCCCATCTGGCTAGACAATTGGGACATCCCGTCGACGTAAAAGTCACTGCTTTCACCAGCAACCTCACCGGGAATTTCAACACCTTCTTCACCCTGCTGCTCTGCTTCGCCCCCTTCCCCATTATCCCCTGAAAGTGTTCTACCTTCTGTTCTGGAGTTAAGGCTTCACAAGCCTTAAAGCAACTTCAGCTGCAGTGTTGGCGGCTGCAAGTACATCTGCAGCTCGATCAGTAATTGCTCCATATTGAATAACATGAGTTTGTGCAAGTAGGAATGGCAACGGGTCATGTTTGAGGCGGATACTGCTAAATCCGTGCCATGCCCTGCCCAGCAATTCCTAACCCGCTCTGCTCCGTGCTCTGCCACGGGTCGGCAATTTTCACTCCATTCACTACCCCGCACGGGTCGGATAAAATCCGACCTGCTCCATCTTTAGAGATTAGAAGGGAAGATCGGAGAGGGATTTGCAGAGGTATGCACAAAGAGATTGTCATATTAGAACATCCCCATTCACGGCAACTTGGAGCTCGCCACCACTGCCGCGACGACTGCTCTGTTCATTGCTTTTTGACCAAAAAAGTCTTAGATAGGCAATACTGCTAGAACTCGCCAGATTGGAGGAACTCACTGAGGGAGGGTGGTTATTGCAGGAGATGGAGGAGGGTTGCAGTGCAATGGAGAAGAACGACCCTGGTGGAAGGGAGGGTTGCAACAATGGAGGATGAGGAAGAAACCAGAGAAAAGGAAAAGTTATAGGTTTTGGTTTTATTGTTGTGGGAAATTGATAGAAAAGAGAAGTCTTTTGGTGGGGAAGTGGGAAAGGTTGGGTCATTGGTGTAAAACTGTAAATGGACAATTCTTCTTATTAAAGAACAAGTAGAAGAGTTACTATTACTTATAGTCACATCCCGTCACTGTTGCTTTTTTACTTTTCTTTGCCTTTTTGTCACATCCATTGGTGCAGCCTCCAAGAATTTTGGCCGCCCTCCATCACTTCCAATTACTTCCTTCCCGTAATTATTATATGTCTGGACATGACAATAGACTTTTTTCCCACCTCTCTCGTTACTTTTCCTTACTGCCCATTCTGCAACCACATAAATCTCTCTTCCTCTGTCTACCATACTTCCAGATTTGTCTCTCTCCATCTTTCTACCAAGAACAAAAAGAAAAAACACACACATGGAAGGAGGAACGAGAGGAAGAACACAGAAAACCCACACCTACATCGATTGTCCTCTGCTTTGGGTTCTGCTTTTTGCTGAATCGTTGGTTTTCTCGAAGGAATCATTAGTTGCCGAACCACGCTAGCGGACAACGGCAACTACGATGTTCTTCTTCGACAGAGGCAGGTTTAGTTGGGACATGCGATTAGGGGGATCGGTGTGTTTTGGGTTCGTTCCGAACAAAGAACGGCGAAGGGAAGGTTGCAGGGGGAGAAGGAGGATGAGAATGTTCCTTTCTTTCCTTTCAGTTTCGTTCAGTTGAGAAAGGCAGACGTGGGCGGGTCCGATGTTCTTCTCCGACGGAGCTAAGGCTGATCGGGACAGAAGAATCGTCGATGGGTTCTGGGTTGCGTCGGCGTACTTGGTTGGGTGGTAAGTTTTTTCTTTTTGTTTGTGTTCGTGCTTTCATTCCTTTTTGGGTTTTAGTTTCTGCTAAACCAATGTGTTTCTCGATGGATTCGTTGCCAACAAAACCACGGTGGCGACAGCCTTGCCTGGGGAAGAAGGATCTTCATCCAGGTGATTGGTTGGACTGTGAGTCTGTGGTCTCTCTTTTACCCATGCCCACTGGTTTCTCCAGGTTGAAGAAAAGGAGGAAGCAAATGGTCAGTTTCTACACTCTATTTCTTTTCATTTGTTGGTTCCATTTAAGGCTTTCGTTTTTGCTAAACTGTTGCGGTTTTCAGCAGGTTCATCGTGGTAGAACGGTGTCAACTAGCTTACCTGGGGAGGAAGATGCTCCGGCGAGTGTTTGGTTATATAGTGGTTTCTGAGAGTTTGAAGAATAGGAGTAATCAAATGGTCAGTTTCTACACTCTGTTTGTGTTCATTTTGGGTACCTTTTAACCTTTAGTATTTGCTAAGCTGTTGTGCTTTCAATGTGTTCATCTCCCACGAAATTGTGGATTTGTGGTGTTGACGACCTTACCTGGGGGAGGAAGATGTTCCATCAGGTGTTTGGTGCAAAGGTGACTCTATGTCCTCTGTTTTTGAAGATGGACAAATGGGAGGAAGGAGATGGTTAGTTTCTACTCTCTTCTCATTGCAAGGATGAACAGTTCTACAGCCCTATCTAGATGGATTTGTGTCTTTTACGTTTTCAATTGGGTTTAGTGTTGTTTCTTTGTTGTTTGTGATGTTAAATAATTTACTTTTTTGCTCTCATGTTTGTTTTTGCCAGCAATGTTGTCTGATGAGGGTTAGAGGAAACGCAGATAGGGAGTTGCAGGCTGTTGAGTTTGATTTGCCCTGCTGAACGAGGAGGAATTTTACAATGCTATATAGTATTGGTGCTATAGGTTTTTGCCTTTATGGTACAGGTTGAAATTGTACATTTATATTATGGTACAACTTCAGATTGTACCTATACTTTTTGTACAAATTCTTTTATGGTACAACTTGAACTTGTACCTTTATGTGATGGTACAACTTCAAGTTGTAAAGTTGTACCATAACATAAAGATACAAATTCTTTTATGGTACAACCTAAACTTATACATTTAATGTTATGGTACAACTTCAAGTTGTACATTAAAGCACCAATACTATATAGCATAGTAGAAGTGCTCGCTGAACGAGCACATCTTCTCTATTATGTGTATATGCAAGCAAGGTGAGACTTTTGTTTTCTTTGTTTGCCTATTTCCATCTTTTAAGATGATACGAAAGTGGTTAGTAGCTGTTGTGGGATTCCAGGAATATCAAGCACCCGAATGACGGGTTGTAGATCTTATGCCTTGAACGAAAAGGGTGGCCTTCCTTTCATTCGAGATCGCTTAATGGTTTTTATAAGAAAGTAACAAAATTATGTACAATGCGATTAGTCTGCTGGAGTTTTTCTTTGGTGGTGGATGTGTTGGTGTCGTTTTGTAGAAGTAGGGAAACCCAGTAACATGTTCATGAATAATCTTATAACCTTTTTGAGAATTTCATTATTGCAACTCAAATGATGTGCCTGCTCTGCCTTTCAGTTTCTGCGTATATGCTTTTGTCGTTGAACCTGGCTGGAACTTTCTTTTGATGCGTATGCAAGCCTGTATCGTCGCTACTTGGTCTCCATTTGATTTCCCTTCATGCAATGAGAATTTTGTGGTTTTTGTAAATTCAATATGCTTTTAGACTTATGGTCCTCGCATGATTTTTGTTTTGTTAGGCGGGAATTGTTGCATGGAATGAATCAAAGAAGGAACTACCACGACATGAGCTTAATCATTCTCAGTCTATGCAGCTTAGTATCATCCTTGCACGGTTAACCACATGTAATATGGTTCAGGGGTGTTCGGATTTCTTCTTTTAGAGTGTATAGTAGTTTCTTCCCTTTATTTTTGCAAGGATGATGTGCTCATTATATCTCTTTGTTTAATTTACTGTAGGATCCAGTTCCCCATCCATGGCAGAGGAATTTTCCATTTCCAGCGCACAATAGGGTGAATTCGATATGGGAGAATGAAGTAGGAGAATAGGTCATTTGAAAAGGATTTCGTTACCATCATGTGTTAGATTGTATCTGGTTTAATGGATATTTTTCTTTGGTGAATTACAGATTCTTGATTGTATTTCTATCCTTCCAGACTACTCTCAACGACGGATTTCTGGGACGGCTACGACTTGGTGGTATCTTTACCCTCTTTTCCCTTTTTAAAATGCCTCTTAAAGGTTCGTCGAATTGGATCTATTTCTTAGGTAGTCGCCTGAGTGATTGCTCTATCACATCTGTTTCTGTTGCATTTCATTTTTCTGTGTTGTTTTGCCATGATGTTTATTGTTTCTTGCTTTGTTGATTGTTATACAGGAAGATGGATGAGGTCTCTCCAGTCGGCTAAACATCTCTCATCTTCCACAACCCGTAGGGAAATAAAAGGTTAAGGAAGAAACTCACTTTTGGGTAGGTACTCCATTTTGTTGATTTAGTTAGAGGCTTGCTCTTTTCTTATGCCATGTTTTTATTGGATATGTACATTTACCTTCTTTGCTTCAGATGGCAACTCCAGTTTAACAAGATTGTTGCTAGGGGCAAGAAGTTAAGATATGGCCTCATTACCTACCGTTGCATCAATGTCCGGGTCTTGCAGTAGGTTTGCCCCAGGTCCGAGACCAGGCAACTAGCTCCACGAAGTAAAGCTGAGACTACTGCCAACATGACTGCCAACTATCATGATCATGCTTCGGTCAGTTTGGCTTCCATACCGAGATCTTCCTCTTTTGTGCTTCAATTTATGCTTCTGTGATTATATTTTGCCTGTATGGTAGGCAGCTGCCTGCTAGGATTGCAGTGTCCAGTTTGCATAAGAACACGGTTAAGTTGTTGATTGGGGGCGTGAGCTTGAAATGTATGGTTTTATTAGTTTAGCGTGTGATTTGCTATCAGATGATGCAGTCTGATGGTTATGCATCATCGGTTCAGTAAGACGTCTACATTAGAACCTATGTCTACTGTAATACTCTCATATAGATCTACTTTAGAAGTTAGATAATGCCTTCCGCGTTGAGTACTGTGGTAGGGGGAACCAATGGCGGAGAGGTCCTATCAATCTTCTGGTTCTTTGGAGTGAGTAGGATTGGCCGGGCATGGGCCTTGAAAGAAAAGAAAGGGGATAAGGGTTGAAGGATACTCCGCCACCAGGCAGATAGTTTCTTTAGGAATTTCGGTTTTATTTGGATCCCCATTTATTTAGTTTCCTCTAGCCAGGAGAAGCCTCTACTAGCCTATTTGTTCACGTTCCGACTTTGTAGATCCGGATATGGTTCTCCGACCTGGAGATTGATTCTTCCTTCCAGCCCACAATTCGTCCACAATGGAGAAGTTTTTAGCACAACCCATATCTTTTCTCCCTCCATCGACATCGATTTTGCCCAAAACATCACCAAACACACTACACAGTGTTTGATTGATTTGTTTAGGTTAGTTTTCTGTCTTATTTCCGTTGTTCTTTTTTTTGCTCTTTTATTTTAGTTTCCGAGATTTATCTCTAACCTTGCATAAGGCAACAAGTGTATTATATAATTTAATTCGTACAAGTTCAACTAGCTTTTGATTTGGGGTTAATATTCTTGACAACAGATCAAGATGAAGGAGACACAAAAAAAAAGATTCTTTTTATGTTGAATGATGGTGATGGAACTTACTATAAATGACAGGGAGTAGGCAAATGAAAAAAACAGCAGGGTTGAACTGAGAAAAATTCGAGCTTTGGCCCTTGACGGTAGCCAAAATGTCTGGGAGTACCCATGATTCAGTCTGTTCCAAGTAATGGTTTCTACTTTCTCAAGTCGGAGAGTTAACTGTTTGAAGTTCAGTTTGAAATATCTTAATTTCACTCATCATATATACCAGCAGTTGCAGTTTTGGAGAGCTTAATACAACTTAAAATTATTAGAATGTTGATCTTCATTCTCTTCTTTTTATAACATTTAGGCTGCATTCTTGTTAAGTGTGATAGTTTTGTATTAGTGTGGAGATACCTTTCATTTAGTCATTTTCCATCACATCTAGGAGTGAAACTTTTTTCCCTTCTGCGGCAGTAAAATAAAGTAGCCTATGATTTATTATTGTTTTGTCACCTGATTGCAGCTCTTTTGATCGCCTCTTTGTTATAGTTGGCGATTTATTATGCCTTTAACAAAAGTTTACAATGGAATTTTGCAAGGGAAGTTGCAGTTGTGAGGAGGTAAAGATTCGACACAATTTCTTTACATAATGCCTTCATTGAATCAGCTTTACATATTGCTTTTCAGCTCTTAAACATTATACTAACTGCTCTTGCTGGAATGCATCCTATCTTTTGCTGGCCTAACATCCACCTCCCCTGTTGCAGGACCAAGGCTTTTGTGGATTAATCTCCAAGTGCCATAGGTAACTTGCGAGAGTCCCACTATGTCTTTTCCTTAATAGACTAGCATAAGGAATATGAGAACGAAAGTCTCTTTTTGAAATACAATCATCTCAAAATAAGCAAATTTCTTCAGGCCTTTGTAGCTAACTCCCAGACTGCATAGTGTTACATAATTACTAATCTTAAATAGATGTCTTTTGACTTGTGTTCTTCCACAGAACTTTCATGTTTTCCGTATTTTGTGGTCTCTTTACATATTCATTGTTTTTCATGCAGATTGCATACAAGCTGCGTGTTTTGTGCAATTGATTGGCCAGTGGATTGTTCCTTTAAAATACTAATGACTTGGTTAGTTCCATTTTTTGGCGAAGAACTTCCACGATTTCCTTAACCGATCTAACTGCACCGCACCTGTAATACCATTCGTTTCCCCTAAACCTATTGTTGCCTGCATATGAAAGCTTCCTGTTTGGTTACCAAGTCGTGAATACCAAATCATTCCTTTTATGGTTCTCTGCCCTTTTGTTCTTTCATTAGCCGTCATTATCCCTAATTAGGACTCCATATCATCTCTTGCGTGGTTTACAAACTTCATGGATTCCTTGGCAGTTGGCACCAGCTGAGGGGTTGTTTATATTTCCAGAATCAATTCTCCAGTTTATTAGTTTGGTTCTTTTTTTCCTAATCTATCACAAGGATTCCAATAGCTGCTAATTTGAATGAAAACTTGGTTAGGTTGATATTTTGTTCTTTGGAAAATGCTCTGCAGACATGAAAGAAGATCGGTAGCATGCTTGCTGATCTGGAGTGAAGGAAACCAAGGAGATCTTCAACCTGCTTCGAGGTTTTGATGAAGTTAAAGCCGAGGTTGATAAACTGGTGGTAGAGTCTGCCACTGATGTTAGGGAACAGGAGCTCCATCTCCATACCCGGTGGCTCCGTGTTCAACGGCTGGTCGTTGACAGTATGAGAAAGGTGGTTGGAACGAGTTCGCTTCCAAACAGAGCATCATGGTGTTGTGAATCAGAAGATGGAACAATCAGTTTAATGGGAGGCGATGGATCCAGATGGTTAGTTTTCTAAGTATGAATCCAAATGGTTAGTTATCTATACTGGTTTCTTTCCTCTTTGTGATTCCTTATAATTTTTGTTGTCTGCTGATTGTCCATAAGAAGGATGGGTCTGGTTTCTCATAAATATCACTATGAGAAAGCATCAAGCATTGGCGTTGAAAGACCTTCAATGATGACTGCAACTTTATATTGTGAGATTGCCATTTTTAGCATAAGGAGTGTACTGAATTTCCTTTTTTGAAGTAATGGGAGTGTAGTGAATGATACTGAAGGTTATGGGATTTTCATGAGAATGTTGTGCTGCCACCAGCACTCTGCATAATGTAGATTGTAGCGAGGAAAGGTCAGTTCGAAGAGGTGAAGGACAAGTAGAGGCGCTGGAGCTTATCCTCGAACGTGAGACGAGTTCAAACTATAAAATTTCTCACCTGTAAGTTTTACTTGCTTTGTTTTCTGCAGACTCTAGCATCCTAAAACAAGAATTAACTATGCTTTGCTCAACCTGGATTAGCTCATCTTGGCAACCTCTCTTTATGTGCTTTGCCAAAATTTGTATCTGATTGTGAATCTCATTAATGGATTCCTCTGTTGTGGGGAAGAAATTCCAGTTGATTGGAGTTTGTTTATGTTTAATTGACCTGTAACTTGATGTAGCAGGTTGTGGATGCTGTGTAACTCTTTGTCACAGTTAATTTTCATAACACATCTTTGTCCATGCTAATTCAACTGTGAATTATCAGGTTGGGATGCGGGAATGCACTGCAGTGTGTATGGAAGTCATTGACATGGGAGATGGGAGCAAGATCTATTGGGCAACTAGATAGGTGAGGCAAGAAACTAGCAAAATTGGTATGTATTTCATTTCCATTTTATAGTTTTTGGTTGGTGTGTTCAAAATGTGTTGATGATAATCTTTCTTTCTGTGTTTCATTTATTTCTATAGTTGTAGGTTGTATACCATGAAGGAACCACAGGGGTTGGTGACAACAGTTCCAGGAGACCAGGAGAATGAAAGGTTTGGTTCTTTTCAAGCGACACTAAGACTTGATGATTGGTGCTTCGATTTTTCTCAGCACATGGGCAAAATTGATCTCTATGGATTTTAGAAACCTCTCTGTCGTGTTAAGAGTATCCTTCCTTCTATCGATGCTTTTTCCCTTCCAGTTCTCTTTTACAGGTGGTGAATTTAAATCAGGGCCTCTAAATTTCACCCTTGAACATACTTCGCTCTGTATGTTCTCAAGCACCTAGCAATGATTGTTCTCTTTTCCCTCCTATATTATTACTTCAAGTCCCAACTGTGTTCTTCCTTTTATGTATAGAATAGAAGCAATAGTTGTTGTGGTTGGCAATGGTTGTTCTCTTTTCCCACCTATATTATTACTTCAAATCCCAACTGTGCTCTTCCTTTATGTATGGAATAGAAGCAACAATTGTTGTGAATGGAAATGTGGGAGTGACTTCCTTGACGTGTTGTTGTGATTGTTTCTTATTTCAGGTGAGGAGGTGCTTTCAATGTAGGGATTAATTAGTTTGACAAGTTGTTTCATTCATCATCTTCGGCGGTTTCACCGCCATTCGCCCATTGTTTGGCCTGTAATTTTGACAATTGGTAGTGCGAGTAGTGCGTTTCAGGGAACTTTGATTCAGGCCATCGCTCCGGCCAACCTCATCCAACACTTCACCGATATTCTGCAGTTGGGAAGTGTTTACCTCAAAGAGTCTCTATCGTGTAGTATGTTAAACATATATCTCTGTTTTCACGTGCACACTATTAAACCTTTGCTTTTTATATGTTGCTGATGTGTCTCCTCTACTATGCCCTGGACAAACAAAACGGTCGCCGTCGACATTGCTTTGCTGCTGTCATATGCAAATTAGAATGGTTTTGTATTATATCAGTTTTCATTCTATGGTTTTATCTTTTCTTCCTCTACTGTTGGCCGCATTTGCAAGTGTAATGTTATTTGCCTTTGAGGTAAGTTAATTGGCAATTCGTAGTTCTTTGTTCTTCCAATTGTGGCGAGTTGTCATACATGTGTTTATATAACTTGCTTCGTTCGAGGCCATAAGGAGATAACCGTACAATATCATTTAAGTCATTAGAAAATTGTATTAGCGTTTTCTTTGGTTAGATAGTTTTTTTCCACTTTTTACTCAAATTCACATTCATTTTGGTTTTGGGATTGTAATATCAGGGAATGCATGGATTCACTGTAGGTGGCAATAGAACGGAGGAGTGTCGACCAAAAAATACCTCTTGCCAAAGCAAAGCAACCCGCAAGGAACTTGAAAGAACAGTTGCTTTTACTGCTATATTTTTCCCGAAATGCATTGCGAGTTCAATTTCTTGAGTATATCTTTATGGTTTCAGTCTCTTATTGATTAGGTTCTGTTGTTTGCATTCTGCAACTCCTGGAACTTTTGAATATTGCAAGGGGAGCAAGCCTGTCAAGGTTGGTGACTATAACTAGAGCATAGGTATGTTGAAATTTCCCCCCTATGTCCTCAATTTTTAGCCGCTGAATCACTAGCTTGCGATGCTTTCATTGTATGCATACTGAAGGTCTGAAGGTGTTCTAGCTTGCACTGTTAATAGTATGAAGTGGCTTATACCCGTGTTCTCTTTGTTGAAATGCTTGCAGCCAGGCATGTGTCTAGCTCTTGCCTTATTTCTCCATCCATTAAATGCATTTTCCTGCATGTAGAGAGGTAAAATATGCAAAAGATAACATATTTGTGTTGTTTTGTAACTTGGTCAGTCTGTGTCTGAGTGTGTGTTTGCATTTAGACCATTTCTCCTAAGCATGTTGATTAATTCAAGCTTTATGTGTCTACATAGGACGAGAACACCATTTCAGTTCTGCTGCCCAAGCATGACCAAATGGAATGGTGGAAAACTTTGGTGAAAGGAGGTCCTGAAATCGATACACTAGAGGTAGAACCTGGAAACAGCAAGCTTGCCGACCCATACCTTGAAACACACCAGGTTGTCGAGTAGACGATGGTAACTTATTCGTGCCCTACTCCACCCCTATAATCTTGTGATAAGCTTAACCTGATATCTCTCTTTTGCTATTGTTGTGGTGTTATTTGTGCAGCTGACAGTACTTTTCATTTTTTTATCACCTCTAACTGATCTTTCGTGCTTAACCTGCAGTTTGATCAGATACAGAAACAAATGGGCCTCCCAACCAACGATGAGATTCAGAAGCAGGATATTCTAATGAGGCTTATGCCGAGCTGAGTTGCCATATATAAACCTCTAATCTCTAACCTTCCGGTGCCATTTTTCTCTGCCACGTTGTTAACCTGGTGGTTGGTTTTGGTTATTGACCATCCAGAGATGCATTTCGCAAGGGCAAAGATAAACTAAAATAGTAGCGAAAGGGTCCGACATGAGTTTTCTAGAAGGCTGTGAATTTACAACTCGTGTGATTTTGGGTTGAAAGTACTTTGGTTAATAGGTGTACAAGACATTTGAAAGAGAATGTCTGGATTTGGTTAGTTTTTTGAACTTATTTGCTTGGATAAGAGCCTTAAATGTTTCTTTTGGCATTTTCCATCCATTTTACCGTCTAACTTGCGTGATAAATTTTTTTTATCATTGTTACGCGAAGCAACGCGAGCGGGTCTACCTAGTAAAAATTAAATATAAAAGCTTTAATCCTATCCATTGCTTTTAAAGAAATTTGTTATTTTACATTTATTTTTGGCAGTAGAATGGCAGTGTTATCAATTAAGTCATAAAGGAGGAGAGATACTTGTATCTTGTACGTTTCCAGCATCAATTGGAGGAATACTAGTGCTAAAAAATGGACAGCTGGCTAGGGAAGGGGAACATATATGAGTGAAAAAGAGGAAGGGCGGAGCGAGGCGGATACAGAGCGGGTTAGTGGTGATTAATAGGGCGGGTTCGGGCGGGTTCGGGCGGGTTCGGGTTGGGTTCAATCGGGTTGCAGGTTGATCGGGTTGCAGATCAATCGGGTTACGAATTGATCGGGTTGCGGTTCAATCGGGTTCAGGTTGATCGGATTGCGGGTTACAACAGGTCGGGTTGCGAGTTGTTCGGTCCAAACCATCGAGTTTTTTTATAATTAGTTACTACACTAATTTAATGCAATTATGCAATTATGCGGGTTGTTATGAGTGCAATTAGTTGCACTGTTAATTTATGACAATTTCTTATTCACGTAAACTTTTCAGGTGTCACGTAAAATCAAATTTATTCACGCAAGTCTTCAACTATTTACGCATATTTGATCTCAGTCACGCCAAAACAATCAGACCCAGTATAAAAACAAAGTCGGTCGTGTTCTTATCAAACAAGCATGGGGCACACTTAAAAAAACACCCTCTCCTTAACAAAACTCGGTTTCTTCCCAAAAACCAGGCCTCTCTTCCTAAAAGGCCGTATTTTCATGTGATTAACACAAATGCACGCCATGTCACGCTAAAACATTAAAACTCACGCATAAATAGACACTGTCACGCCAATATAACACTATTCACGCATAAGCATACCTACTCACGCATAAACAGACATTTATTCACGATAGTCTTATAACTATTTACGCATATTCAATCTCCTCCACTATATTCAAATAAGATCAAGGAAAAGTTCTTGTCTCTAGATGTGCCAAGAGACCAGACTCGAAGATCAATAAGGGATAACTATTCAACAACATGTTATAAGAACTCATAACATACCAAACTAATAGTCTAGTATGTTAGATAACATGCTCAACAACGCATTCACGAGTTTAAGTGCAATACTCACATCACATCGTCGAATATGAGTTACTCTATAGTTTTATATCAATTCAATAGCGTAATAACTTTTAAATATTAGTATATACATTTCAAAAAATTACCCAGTCACGTCAATACTATCTATTTCACGCCAACATTATATGATTCACGCACATTCATCTCTGAAAACGCCAAAACCATATGATTCACGCAAATACCCATCTGATTCACGCAAACACATTCTCATTCACGTCAGCACTATGTGATTCACGCCAAAACAATCTGACTCACGCAAATGGATCGTCATTCACGACAATATTAATATGATTTCACGCATATTCATGTAGGGACATGCCAAAACTATAAGAGTCACGCCAATACACATCTAATTCACGCACATTCATCTCTGAAAATGCCAAAACCATATGATTCACGCCAACATTATGTGATTCACGCAAACACATTCTCATTCACGTCAACACTATGTGATTCACGCCAAAACAATCTGACTCACGCAAATGGATCGCCATTCACGCCAATATTAATCTGATTTCACGCATATTCATGTAGGGACATGCCAAAACTATAAGAGTCACGCCAATACACATCTAATTCACGCACATTCATCTCTGAAAACGCCAAAACCATATGATTCACGCCAATAACCATCTGATTCACGCCAACATTATGTGATTCACGCAAACACATTCTCATTCACGTCAACACTATGTGATTCACGCCAAAACTATATGGTTCACGCAAATGGATCACCATTCACGCCAATATTAATCTGATTCACGAATATTCATTTAGGGACATGCCAAAACTATAAGAGTCACGCCAATACACATCTAATTCACGCACATTCATCTCTGAAAACGCCAAAACCATATGATTCACGCCAATACCCATCTGATTCACGCCAACATTATGTGACTCACGCAAACACATTCTCATTCACATCAACACTATGTGATTCACGCGAAAACTATATGGTTCACGCAAATGGATCATCATTCAAGCCAATATTAATCCGATTCACGCATATTCATTTAGGGACATGCAAAAACTATAAGAGTCATGCCAATATACATCTAATTCACGCACATTCATCTCTGAAAACGCCAAAACCATATGATTCACGCCAATACCCATCTGATTCATGCCAACATTATGTGATTCACGCAAACACACTCTCATTCACGTCAACACTATGTGATTCACGCCAAAACTATATGGTTCACGCAAATGGATCACCATTCACGCCAATATTAATCCGATTAACGAATATTCATTTAGGGACATGCCAAAACTATAAGAGTCACGCCAATACACATCTAATTCACGCACATTCATCTTTGAAAACGCCAAAACCATATGATTCACGCCAATACCCATCTGATTCACGCCAACATTATGTGATTCACGCAAACACATTCTCATTCACGTCAACACTATGTGATTCACGCCAAAAGATGTGCTTTCTATTCCAATTTCACCAGTTGCTTCAGAGTCGTTTTTTAGTTTGGGAGGTAGAATATTATCCAAATGGAGGACTTCCATTTTGTCTGATACCCTTGAAGCTGTTGTGACAACTCGTAATTGGATGCATGGATATAAAATGAGTAAGAAAATTTATATTCTTTGTGTATACTAAAGTAGGTGAGAGTTTACTTACAATGGTGTTTTTACTTTCAATGACTAATTGTACAGATGAGGATAATGAAGATGCAGAATATGATGGAGAAGAAGTGAAGCTTGTTGATTGATCGCCAAGTGAATTGCCATTTTAATTTGTGAACCTATTTTGTTGGTATGTAAGATGTGACAATGTCAACTATGTATTTGTATCCTACTATTTTTTATATGGTAGAACTTAGTAAGCAAACTGTTATGTATCTTCTTATTATTGGGGCTAGGGTATGAGTTATGACTTATGTACTAATATGAATCTTCGTATTGTAGGTTAATATTTTGACAATGTTATGTGACCAGTTATATTATGTGTGGAAGAAAAAATGTTGTAATTATTAGGTACTGATATATGATTGACTTAATTAAGTCAATAATGTTTTTCATATGTATGTGTTATCTATATATATTATTTATATACATCAACCAAATGTAAAAAATGTTGAAACCCTCCTAGGATTTCTACTTATCTACCGAGACAGTGAGACTATTATGTGATTCTATTAAATGACAGTTTTTATTTGTCAACACAAAGTAAACCTCTGTTCTTGGTGGGAAAGATGAAAAAATAATAGGGCAAGTCACATAAAATTTATATATATATTATCTACATATAATATTTATGCACAAAAATATATTATATAGTATTATTCGTGCCAATCGGGCGGGTTCGGGTTGGGTTAATCGGGTTCGGGTTAGTCGGGTTGCGGGTCAAGCGGGTTGCGGGTCAAGCGGGTTGCGGGTTAAGCGGGTTGCGGGTCAAGCGGGTTGCGGGTCTTTGACTTTTAGTCTAATCGGGTTGCGGGCGGGTCGCGGATCGGGTTGGTTGGGCGGGTTACTCGGGTCGGGTCATGTTTTGACACCTATTGGTGATATCCAAATCTGCTCCGTTCTATATACGGGGCGGGTCATGATCCATCCTGTTTTAGAACAGGTCGGATAAAATCCTCCCTATTACAGGGCATGTCGGATAAAATCCAGCTAAGCGGATCGAGATTGCCATCCCTATATGCAACAACCAATATCACTGCATCCCAAAAATACAGTTAGGTTGAACAAGTACTCAAGTCATCAGAGGACAATAATAAAATAAGAGACCCCGAGAGCTTACATTTTCACAATATCACCTTCTTCTAAAACTCTTTCATCAGTGGCAAAAGGATATAAATGGCATACAATATTGTTTACAGAAACACAAGTAGGAAATGTCACTCCCCTTTCAATCTTCTTCTTCACATTCTTGTACACGTTACCGGTCTACAATTACCAATTTAAAGAGAGATTAATCAAACTAATACAAGAAACACGGGATTTTTCCAGAAATAGCACCTTTAAAAAAATTACAAAAATAGCACCCATCCGAAAAAATTTACACTAATAGCACCCTTTTTAATAGACGCACCAGTAAGGTGCGTTCCAATTTTTGGACCCAAATCGCATTTTGGCCAAGCGGTTTTAGGTCTGACCTACAGAAATCGCTTGGCCGAGGTGCGGTTTTAGGTCTGACCTACTAAAACCGCATCATAAAGGTGCGGTTTGTTTCTCCCAAACAAAACCGCATCCTCATGGTGCGATTTTGACATACAAACCGCGCCTTCAAGGTGCGGTTTTGGTCAAACAATTTCCGACATGCCATGCAGACGTAACAAACGTGGGTCTGCATGGGCCTGCATGCCAGACGAAAACCGCACCTTAGAGGTGCGGTTTTCATCAGTGATTTTGCCTATAAAAGGCCTCCCGGACAACCACTTCTTTTCACACCTCTCCTTCTCCCTTTTCAATTTTCTGTTGTAGCTCTATATTTCTTTAGTAGTTTTGCGATTAACGTTAACTCGTAAGTTGATTTAGTATTACTTTTTATTGTTATTTTTTATTTTTGATTTTTATGATATTAACTGAACTACGGTTTTATCGCAGATGGCATTCCAAAAGTTCACGCTTGGCTTACGGTGGAATGGTTACACGGAAGAAACCGGAAAGGGGGTCACCTACGTAGGTGGCAATTTTCAGAAGATAAAGGTCGCTACCAGACCGCTGCTTGAAGACCTCCATCAAATGTGCACTAACGTTACTTGCATGGATGGCACGAGAAGAGTTGATCGTATGGTGTACCGATATCCAAACAGAGAAAGTGGGTCATTGTGGCATGAGGAATATCTCATAACCACTCAGGATGAGGTAGACGCCATGCTCGAATTCATGAGGTCCAACAATCTTTCCAAAGCCGAG